ATCCTTATGTTCCTAAGAACCCCATGACAACTGTCTAGATAATCCTGGGGATCCTAAAAAAAAGCACCGCTGAAAGTGGTAGCGAAGAGCTTGGTAAAACCTATCCAACCTCCGCAAAGCCTCCGAAGATGTAACTGATCTAACACCGGCTTGTGTTGTTGTTCGGCTGAAGAAGCAGTACGTGACCTCGCCATTCGCGAAAGGACAAGAGCAGATGTTTCAATTTAGCATTGAGAGAACAAAATCGCACGACATGAAAGAATAGATGTGAAGTTTTTCCTAACTCTGTAGCCTCTAGGGATAAATATAGACGTCTCTGTACCGATTCCTTAGACTCTACTAAGCTTGTCTGTGAACTGTGAGACTCATGTAACCTAGGGCTCTGATATCAACTTGTCACGACCTGGATTTCCCACCCTCGGGAGTCGTGATAGTGCCTACTAGTGAAAGCTAGGCAAGCCAACCAACTGAACTATTTACCGTATTTCCATTTTTAATCCGACAACAGTTTATAGCCAGCAATTAGATAACAACTGAATTGAATAAGCGGAAGACTACATTGTAAAGATTTAATAATACTGCTAATGCCAATCCATAACAAATCTACCCAAGACTGGTGTCACAACTTCACAAACTATCTAGGAGTACTACAAATAAAGGTCTGAAAGAAATAAATACAACACTGTCTATGGAAATACATGAAAGAAACAGGAATAGTATATAGAAGGAGATGCCAAGGCCTGCGGACGCCTGCAGGACTACCTCGGGTTGCCTGATGAACAAGAAACAGCAATCTCACTGCGGTCCGAAGTCTACAACACTGGATCTGCACAAAAGAGTGCAGATTGTAGTATCAACACAACCGACCCCATGTGCTGGTAAGTGCCTAGCCTAACCTCGGCGAAGTAGTGACGAGGCTAGGACCAGACTACCAAATAAACCTGTGCAATTATGCAATATGCATCGGAAAATAAAAATGGAATAAACAAGTAAAGATGGGAGGGGGTACATGCTGCGGGGGAATATCATTTATCAAAAGTAATTCAAGAGAAAAACATAAAGACAATTTAGAATTCACAGCAAAAGAATAAGGAAATCGTAACTAACCAACAAACACTTTTATTATCTACTGTTGCGGCGCACAACCCGATCCAAATCATAAAAACACTGTTGCAGCGTGCAACCCGATCCATATTATTTAAAACTGTTGCGGCGTGTAACCCGATCCAATTATATTAATGTTGTGGCGTGCAACCCGATCCATATTATTTAAAACTGTTGCGGCGTGTAACCCGATCCAATTATATTAATGTTGTGGCGTGCAACCCGATCCAGTTATATTAATGTTGCAGCGTGCAACCCGATCCAAATATAATATTGTTGCGGCGTGCAACCCGATCCAAATATAATATTGTTGCGGCGTGCAATCCGATCCAAATATAATATTGTTTTGGCGTATAACCAGATCCCAATATACAATTCAACACCAATCACAATGGAGCCCCGACAAGGGAACAATATGGGAACAACAAAATCCCGGCAAGGGAATCAATAGCAGCATAATAGAATCAAGTAACAACACAAAATCAATAAATAAACGTAAAGGAAAGCATAACTCAATTATCAGCAAAATTCAGGAAAATCAAGGACAAGTGCATGGCATCACCCTTCGTGCTTTAACACTCTCTTACCAAAATAATAATCACAAGAAATAAGGGAAAGGAAATAAATGAAATCACAATAAAATCCCGGTAAGGGAACAATAGTACAACAATCGAATCCCGGCGAGAGAACAATATCAAAAATCCTCTTCTCTTTTCCTTTTCATATTTACTTCACAACTCACTTCATAACTTGAGCCAATGCTCTATAGGGTTTAATTGCCAATTATATTTTTGCAATTCATTTTACAACTTGAGCCAACGCTCTTCAATATTCAAATTCCAATATTACTTCTACGAGCCTCACTCAACAATAGAAATCCTCACAAAAGGCATGAACAATACAAACAGAGTCACATTAATCATAGTATAAGACTCACGGGCATGCTTGATACCAACGTATAGATACTCGTCACCATATCTATACGTCGTACTCAACAAATAACACATAGCAAATAGGACGCAACTCCTAATCCCTCAAGCTAAGGTTAGACCAAACACTTACCTCGATGTCATGGACACAATTCAAGCCTCAACTATCGCTTTACCTCTTGATTCCACCACCAACCCGCTCGTATCTAACCACAAGTTACTTAATTACATCAATAAATGCTAAATGAATCAATTCTAATGCATGAAAATAGGTTTTCTAAAGTTTTTCCCAAAAAGTCAAAAATTGACCCCGGGTCCGCTTGGTCAAAACCCAAGGTTCGAACCAAAACTCGATTACCCATTCCCCCACGAACCCAAATATATAATTTGTTTTGAAATCGGACCTCAAATCGAGGTCCAAATCCCCAATTTTTGAAAAACCTAGGTTTTATCCAAACCACTCAATTTCCCCATGAAAATCATTCATTTTGAGTTGAAATCATGTGAAGACATGTTAATGATTGAAGGAAACGAGTTAAAATTGACTTTCAATCGATTTGAAAGAAGAGTTGTCTTTGAAAAATCGCCCAAAGTGTTTTGATTTTGAAAGAGTGTGAAAAATGAAGGATTTTCGGCTAAGTTATAAAATTGCATGTTGCAGATGTCGCAATTGCGAATCCAGACTTCTGCTAAGTTCGCATTTGCGAAGCAGTTTTCGCATTTGCAAAGTGGGAATTGCGAACAATGTGTCGCATTTGCGACGTCTGGCTAAAATTGGGGGATCGCATTTGCGAGGTAAGCTGGCCTGGGCTATTGTTCGCATTTGCGATATAGGCTTCGCAAATGCGAAGCCTGCAGGCCTGCCATGCAACAACTGAATTCTGCAATTCCTCAAGTCCAAAATTCACCCCGTGGCCTATCCAAAACTCATCCGAGCCCTCGGGGCTCCAAACCAAACATGCACACCAAATTAAAAACATCATACGGACTTGCTCGTGCATTCAAATCACTAAAATAACATCAAAAACTATGAATTTAGCATCAAAATCATGAAATTACTTAAGAACATCAAATTTTCCATTTTTCTCAAAAATGATCTGATTCACGTCATTTCAAGTCTGTTTCTCACCAAAATTCACACACTTATCTTAAATCACATATAAGACCTATACCGAACGCCGGAATCAAAATACGGGTCCGATACCATCAAGTTTTAAACATATTTCATTTCTAAACTCATAAATAATTCCAGAAAATAATTTTTCTTTAAAAATTCATTTCTCGGGCTTGGGACCTCAGTATTCGATTCTGGGCATACGCCCATTTTCCTACTGGGACCGTCAAATCACGGGTCCGTTTACCCAAAATATTAACCGAAGTCAACTTAAATCCATTTTATAGTCAAAATTCATTATTTTTCACAGATTTTCATATAGTAGCTTTCCGGCTACGCGACCGGACTGCGCATGCAAATTGAGATGATGCCGAAAGAGGTTTTTAAAGCCTCAAAAAGCANTGGGTTGGGGGTGGGGAGGGGGGAGACAAGAAAGTCGTGAATGGTGAAAAACATGCTACTACTTTGCCTAACATCTAAAATAGTTAAGCCAAAATTGTGAACTTTTTTTTTATATATATGCATTCTAACAATGGAAAAACAATTGTTCTAGAAAACACAAGTAGTATTCTATTAATATAGTCACGCATTAACTTTTCTCACTAAAGCCATAATTCCTTTCAGCACGAGAATTACTTTTTTAGCTACACATAGATGCCGTTGTACGCTTTCTTGTTGAGAAAAATATAGCTTTCATTAGGTAAATTAAGTAAAAAAAATAAAAATAAACTGAAGATGACTACTTAGCTATTTGATTCTTCTAGAAAATCTACTTCTCTTTGCTAAGAAACCAAATTAGCACAACATCAAATGTTAGGAATATAACTAAGACAAAAAAGAAAGCCATTGTTGTACTCTCATTTTGAGAAAAAAGTAAGAGCTCTTAAATTACATATTTAAGACTTCCATTTTATTAAAGCTTTTTGAATTGAGATGTTCCTTAATTTCTAATAATTGCACTAGTTAAATATAAATTGCATACTTTTAAGATGGAAAGAGGCCATGTATGTGCATTTTCCATCAATATTATCTAGTAGACTACGTCCTACGTCTCAAATTATCTGTCATGTTTTTTTACACGTCCCTTAAGAAACATTAGTGAGGAGGGACTTTGACTCTCTTCATTAAATATTTACTCTATTTATGTGCTATCTACATTTTCAAGAACAATTACTATTAAGGATAAATGGAAAAAATACAATTTATTCTATTTTGAATTTCTAAAATGACAAGTAATTTGAGATAACTATTTTTAAAAATCATGACAAATATTTTGAGACGGGGAGTAGTAGAAAATTAAATAAAAAGAGTGGGGAGATTCAAAATATTATCTCACCATCCAAATTTGGTAAAATTCAAGAACCTCTCATAATTAACTACAAACTTTCATCCACTGCATTACCAACAAACCACCCGAATTTACTCACAGTTCCAGAAACACCAAAACCTTAATGAGCTTTTCCCCAAATCAAGAAACTCCCCTCATTAAAATCTGTTTTAAAGTTAATAACTTTATAAAAATAAAGCCTTAACTTCAAGGCCCTTTTTTCCCACCAATCAATGCAATAACCACCCACCTCTCACCTCCTAGCTCTAATA